TGTAGGTAGAATCCTGCAGCACTACTTCTGCTGAGGACTCTTATTCATGCACTAGATCTTAAGTCTAGGAGTGGTGTCTCCACACACAGCTGGAGGAGACTTAAGTAATGGTGTCACACACCTGAGATTGGAGGTACAGTAGGTATAAACGCCTAGCTCTATTTCCTAGAGGTGAAAGTATCCCAGTGCTGGTGCTATCTTTTTTTCTGGTCACAAGAGTTACAGGAGTTGCCTAATATTTTTACTCAAAACAAATTTTAGTACCCATAGCATAGCAATATTTGTCATTTTTAAAAATAGAAAAGCAATGTTTTGTTTTAAATAAAGCGGAAAATTCCGCTTTCACAGTAGATTCATTTCTACAACATCCAAGACTGCAAGGATACTGTTTCTAATCCTGTTAGAAATTAGATCATAGTCCATAAAACTCCACATTCCTGCACTGTATGCTCACGCCTTGGACAATTACACAGAGATAATTACCCTCCTGTTATAACCTTTGGGTCTATATGTTTTTGTGCACAGTTGAGGTAGAGTGATGATGATAATGTCTGACTTTAAACAAAGATTCTCACATCTTCATCGATTAGAATTGCTATACAACTCTGGAGTCTCAAAGCTTTAACAAATACCTTAATTTCAATCAATAGCAAATGGCTCTCAAGCAAATTTAACAATTACATTTTGTGATAGTCTCTTAAGGAAATGTATTTTCATTGATCTCATGCCACACCATGAAAGAAAAAACTATATTGAACATTTATCATTGAAGGCTTTTAGAGATGCTTTGAGTGGACATTTTCATATTGTACTTAGAACAATTTCACTTAAAATGATTGAGACAGTGGAGACTTAAAATGATGAAGCTCATTGAGAATTGTCCACTGAATTCTACAAATGTTAGACAAACATTGAAAACACATTGTGCACAGAAATGAAATATTGTGTGAAATGTGTATAATGAATACATATGGGAAATGGAAAGAGGCCCATCGAGTATAACAAATGAAGAATATCCTTGTGCTAAATCTCTGCAGATAAGATAACCAAGGAAATGCAGGGATTCTGCAGATTGTGTGTATGCTTTGAAATATAGTAGCTTGTTAAACCATTTTCCAAGTCAGAAATCTGGGATATTGGGCAAACTAAATCTAAAATTCTTGTTCATTTTTTAGGTTTTACTTTTTAAACTTTAATGTTTTACTATCTTATGATATAGCAGAAATTCCAGTGTATTTTGTACGCTTTCTGGTGGCATGTAAATGAATGTCAGGTCCAGTCATGTGTAGAAAAGTGCACATTTAAGGATTACAAACTGAAGCAGGACAGTACCACCATATGGAGAGCAAAAACTGTGGCATGCGATGTAGCAAACCATGTAGCTCTATATGAAATTGATAACACTGGCTCCACAAATGATTTTCTGCCTCTTTAGCTCGAGGCACAAATAATTTAAAGCACAGTATTTCTTTGCACTTATACTGCAAAGTTGATATTTCTTAAGAATCTACAAGGAGAAATGCCACTGAGATTACAGAACAATTTTCTTCGATTTGAACTGTCACCGTGGGAATAAACTGCCATTCTCACAGGTGGAGACATACACTAGTGCTTGGCCGAAGTGATAAAGCACGGCATAAGCCTGCATGTTTATTCTCTTCCAAATGCAATGGTGTGAGAATGCAATTCAAAAATTGCAGCCTTTTTACAGGTGATATGATGTTACACTGCACTGTGCATTACTGTAGCTACTTTATATAAAACATTTCCTCCCAGCAGATATGTGATATTGAGGTCAACAAAAATGAAAATTCAAACCATATTCTGATGAAACCAAAAGGACTAAAGGTAGTTAAATGATTTTAAATGAACTTTGTCTTATTTTACCTTTGGATACTGCTGAACAGGGATCAGTACTCTTTCTGACAATTTAATATTTTTGTTGCTGATGACATCTAGGTATTTCTTCTCCCCATCTTCTTTTTTTATTTCATCCCCTTCATATTTTTCAATTTCTGTAAAGAATAAATAAAATGCAGTTATGAGATCCTTAAACTATGCAATTGAATAAGTAATATTAAAAAAATATTGCACCGTTGATTTTATTTCACCTCCGCATTGTCAATATTTCCATCTCTCAGCCTTTTGAAATGTACTGTAACTGTAGCTTACAAGGGAAACTAATGCTTTTTGATAAATCAGTGGAGAATTAATCTAGTCAAATAAATGTTTAATGTATTGTTATGCTTAATTAATTCTGATAGTCTTGTAATGCATTTTTATGCTTTTCTGTATTGATGATAGTAGAACATTGTCACCCAATAAGTTATTGATAAATAAGTCTCGGGCAGAGCATTGCTGTACATCTTTATTTTAGAAATATCATTATTGCATATCTACATCTATACAACCTGCTATAAATGTTTACTTTAAACTTTAAAATATAGAGAAGATTTAGATAGGATATTGAAGTTGAAGTTGTACTGAAGCTTATTTGATCTAACCCTTCAACCTGATACCCTGCAAAGGACATAACATGTACAATATTTAATTTATTTTGACTTCATAATTCTTATTAACAAGTGGTAGCCAGGAGGCCCTAAACTATCTGAAAGTACAAGGTTTTACCTACAGATAGTTCATTTGCCAACTAGGCACCAAGGCTGTTCTGTGGCTGTATACAGTATACAGTACACTGGAATGCTCCCGTGTCAATTCAAAGACATTTATATTCCTTGGATGAAGAATTTTGTAAAGCATATGAGAATTCAGTCAAAATGGCATACCCCTAAAACATCAATGAGAGATAACCAAAACTGTCCCCTTGTCTCTGAGGACACATTTTTGTCACTCATAGAAGAATCTTCTAAAAGAAAGAAGAACCAGTGTCACTGCTGTAGAATGCCAAATGAAAAACTGAGTGAGAAAAAGTTTTGCTTAACAAGGAGGCTGACCTTTGATCTTTTAACCTATAATGAATCATTTTCATCTAGCACAATTTGTAACAAATCATGCCACTGTTCTCCTTTTACATCCACAGCGCTAAGCCCATGAATAATCTTGATGCTTCCTGCTGTGACAGTTTTGCAGAGAAAGAATTTCAAATGGCAATCAGACAATTTATATCACTGTGCTGAGCTTGGTTTAATCACCACAAAGGTTTTAATCTGTCTTCTAAAAGCATGCAGACTTTTAGATGCAAGTTTAACAATGATCCTATTTTTCAGTACCCACTTTTTTCTGAAAAAAGGATTCTTCCCAATGAAACTTAAACTATTATAATTTAATTCTGTCAAATGTATTTATACCTTTTAAAAAAAAAATAAAAGAGCTACAGAGTTCTCTCAAAACTAGTGCACAAAAACACACAACTGTTTATATTGTACATATCATCATTAACATTTCACATTGAGTTTCACAATATTTGCATTTCATAATCCATTATTAGAAGCTGCAAATCTCTGGTAAAGGCTGCATCTAACCCAGAGCCACTCCCTGATGCACATGGTGCCCCTGAATGCAAGCCCAGTCTATTGCAGGGCACACAAGCAAAGGGGGACATTAAATAATCCAGCCAGCATGCCTTCAGAAGGTGTGAATGAAACCAGAGCACCTCATGAAAACTCACACAGACCTATGTTACTCTCATACATTCACTCCTATTCAAGTGTAATTAATTTAGGCTGTGGGTCTCTGATCAAGGTCAAGCCTTCCTTTGTTGTAATTTCTATGATTATATTTTATTAGATTGAGGAAGTTAACAATACTACTATAATTAAAATTCAGCAAAATGATTATGATATTCAGAGGATCATGCATGGTCAAATAAATCTAAAAGTCCTTGAAGGTATTGATAAAACCAATCTAGCGGATTATTTAAGATTTCAGAATGAAGCAAGAATGAGGGCACAACTGCAGCCTGTAAGAAAGTGTATTAAACACATTTATTAGGATCAAGCTACCAAGATAGATCAAATTCCCAAATTTTGATGTCAATGTTCAAAACTTGTGTTCCCACTTGGTCAGATATTAAAATAATGTGGTCTGAATTATCATTTTGACACTGATTATTCTCAGATCTACAGCATGTTCATACTAAACCTGACACTGAAATGGCTTTTCTGCACTCTGTAATTCCATCTCTGCCATAACGATTTGTATGACTCAAAATTTCCTTCACTACAGCAACAAGATTGAAGTCTTTCTTCTCAGCACCTCGCATCACATACATAAAGCCAAAGCAGTAACCACACCTGTGGATGGCACAGTATTTGAAGTTCAATCAGAACTGAAGAATTTAGGGGTAATATTTCATCCTAGTTTGATTTTTTGATCCTCATGTGCAAAATACTGTAAAAAAAAACGTATTCTTGCCATACTATGTCTTTGTCTTTGACCGCAGCAGATAAGCTGGACAACTCATTTGTCTTTTCTAAAACTGATTACTGCAACACCCGGCTCACTGGGGTTCCAGAAAATCCACACTGAACAAACTCCAATATGTTCAGAATTCAGCAGCTAGAATCCTGACCAGATTGTGTGCAAGTGATAAACACATTACATTAGATCTTGGAGTTCTTGGCTTCCTGTCAGCTTTCGAGTTGACTTCACAATCCTCATGCTCACCTACAGTATAAGGCATCTCAGTACCTATCCGTCTTATCATCTGTCTGCTCCCCATGCTGCAACCTCCGTTCGTCTGACTCTGGTCTTCTATATGTCCCCCAAGCTCATTTACATTATAAGGGTGATATGACCTTCTCTTGCTACACCCAAAGCTCTTGAATTTTATGCTCAAGGATATCCGAAACTCACCTACCCTGAAGGCATTTAAGTCTAGACTCAGAACCTTTCTTTTCAGAAGGGTGTGACAGGGTGTAGTGGGAGGAGCCGTGGTGAGCACCGGTAGAAGCCAACACCCCAAGCGAGGGGAGGGAAGCACCAGCGTGAGGTTAGAAGGGACCAAAATAATGCAAACCCAATGAAAAACAAACAAAAAACAAAAAGAAAGGTGTACCGGTGTGCCTCCTGACCTCTAGGCCAGACTTACCCTATTTAACTGGGTCCAGCCTGGGAACAAGAAGAGCCGCTAGCTCAGCGGTCACTGGACTGGATTGACCCTGTTTAGCGATTCAGTCCGGTGAGAAGGGCGTGTAAGGCAAGAACAAAACAGAAACTCACTGCGTGAAAAAGGGGTGTGTGTCTGTCTGCCCTGGTGAAAATACGTGACGGGACGGGCAAAAAGAAAAAGAACACCTTACACGGGTGCAATCCCCTCTGGGACTGTCGGTGTAAACTCCCCCTTCCGGGGTGGCCCTGCTCGTCCCCTCGCGGGGTGTCCAGTGTGCCTTTATAGGACCTGACCAGATGGGGCTCATCAGCTGGAAGCCAGGACAGCTGGAACTACAAAGGCGAGGCCACACTGGGCACATCCCCCCATAATGCCGCAAGGGCTTTTATTGAATTTAGTGTGTGTGTGTGTGTCTGTGTGTGTGTGTGTGTGTGTGTGTGTGTGTCTGCTATCTTTAATAGCCATGTACCTCTTTCTGCTCATCTTTCTTATGTTTTGAGATGCTACTTTTAAAGGCACTATATAAAGATTATGATTATTGTTAATAATAATAATAATGTGTACATGGATCTCAGGATAAGCTACAAAAAAACAAATATGCATGATGTGTATGTTGCTCAAGTACACAAGATAATTTTTATAAAACTAATATGTAGGTATACTGGTATTGTGTGCATATTGTACTTGAAGAAAAAAAATGAATAAACAGCAACTGATAATAAGGAGAACTTACTTATTTCACAGTAAGGAGGACGGCATACAGAGTGTGGTATTGTAGAAATGTCTGCACTTTTCAAAAACCTTTTGTGTTCAAAAGAATTAATGAAGACAGGAAAGTTTTCTTTTCCATTTCTGGAAATTGTATTGCAATAAGAAAAGAAAGAAGCACATTGCCTCTCATACATTATTTTTCTCAGTGTTTCACTGTCCTTGTCATAAGTGAAAGAAATTGTTGGGCTGCTGCTGAGATTCTGGTGTATACCTTTGAGCCAAGCTGAGCTGACACAGTTTGAGAAGCTAGCTGAAAAAATGTCTGTATAGCTTTTTGTGCAAAGTAAACATTAGAAACAGCAAGCATTCACTGGGAAATAATAAAACCAAGAATATAATTCTATAATTATGTTTTAGTTTGAGAACACTTGAAAAAAGTGTACTGTATATATATAATTATTTTCCACAAGTAGTGGAGGATTTGACCATTCCATTTTCTTTTAGACAATATTGTCTTTGTTCCCAGTTCTCAAGGACTGAACAAGAGAATACAGTATGCCTTTAAAAATCTTTTTACATTTAAATACAACAAAGATGTTTTCCATTGCCTGCAATCCAGAACAAAATATTTCCTTAGAAAATTAATTTATTGTATGAATTTTATAATTATTTGCAAATTAAAATGTATTTTACACTAGTTACAGTATTTATTAAAACATAATAAGTGAGATCATACAGAGACTTTCAATTAGGGATCTGTAAACTTCACTTATCTGCATTTCAAAATACCCCACTTCCAAAGCACTAATGTTAAGGTTTTTCTAAAATAAAAAATGTAGTCATACATTAGCCGAAATTAAAATTTTACTCTTTATGTCGTCACAATCTATGAACATAATAGTGATTGTCAAACCTACAGGACCTAAAATCCAGGATTTCATGTTTATACAGCATTTTCCAAAAGTATTGGGACTACGAAGTCAAAACTGTTATTTTAACTTTTACAGTCGGATAATTTGTGTTTGTCATCATGAGATTAAAAGGAACAAGTAAAGGTTTATTCCATGGTGAAAAGAAGGCTCCACAGACGAAATGTTGTCTTTCCTTTCTTCTCTTTTCATGATGTATTGCAGCAAAATGAATATAATGAAAATAAAACTATATGATCAAATGTATGCATGGAAAAAAATAAAATGGGTTTTATATTGTACTTATCAATCATATTAATCTTAA